ACTCTATCAAAACATGCTAAAGGTTATAATCTGCATCAAAAGATGCCATCAGTTTTCAGCAAATGTCAAGTGAAAATGGCAAGTTTATCCTGATGTAAAATTACTGCTACTAATATATCTGCCGAACTGACTGTATTCTTATGTCTAATATAATAATCTGACCTAACATTATAAACTAATTGATAACTTACAGCAGAGATAGATGATCTAATAACATGAAATGAAAAATGTAGCTCACATCAAAACAAGGACAAGCTAATCTAACCAAGTACATTACATTCTGTATAATAGATTGACTACAGCAATATTGAGCTATAGATATAAATTGATCAAATCAATTGTTAATGATACTGTGATATTTTCCAGATCTTCAAAGCTCTGAATATGGAAATAAACTTGTGAAAAGTGATGTGAAAATAAGCACAGATTAACCTTCTGAGGTAATATGGCCTGCTATAGATCAGAATATGTAATTATAACTTCCAGGAGGGATAATTCTAAAATACATTCAGCTTATGATGAGGGGGGTCTGCTCAAACACCTGTACCTCTTTAATACCTACTATGTGGCTGAATTGTTTCTAGGAGCTGATTTACTGAAAATGATTAAAAAGACAAAACTCAGGCACTGTTGGTGACCTGGAGTAAATCATCTTTCTTAATATTTCCTGTCAACCAAACAGTTGTTAATGAGTATGGACACCCTAGGATCATTTCCATTTCACTATTGTATCCAACAAGTCCAAACACCAGATTCATTTAAAAGCCTGGTCACCTTGAAATACGGCAACTGTTCCCTCATAATTCTAATCAATCAATAAGCTGTAAGCTTCAATATATACAAATAGTTAGTCATGAGCTACATTACAGATCAGCTAGTAAATCCAAGTTGTATTCTTTATAAAATATGTGTTTCATTATCTATAATATATCTCTCTGTAACAAATAATATTTAATGGTGTTTCAATGAATCAAATGAGATGAAATATAAAATTACCTACTAATAGAATAGGTTGTTTGTCTCCAGGTTGTATGTCTAGTTTATAATATCTACCTCACAGCAGGAGTTACTGATACTTTCTTACTATTAATAATATATTTATTTATAGATGATTTATTGAGGCCAGTCAACCACAATAACTAATAAATAATATATAACACTAACAATCCAGTATCAATATCAACAATGATTCCTACAGTTTGTTTATGTTTTTCTCAACTGTCAATAACATCTTTTTCAGATACAGTTTCACTTTGAGGGATGGAAGAATTCAAATTATGTACAGGATAAAACATGGCAGAGGGTTTTTACAACATATAAAATCCTGTATCCCAAGGGGCCTGTGATGAGTTATTTTTCCAAGAGAAAGAGTTAAAATATTATAAAAACCAGAGGGAAAGTGTTTTATCTGACTTATAAACCAACAAGGACTCATTTGCTATTTTTTTTGTTTGGATAAACAATAAATAATAATGAAATAAGAACGTAACTCGTGTCTTCAAGGCTCTGTCAGTTCATCAAACAGAGAGTTTGACTTGCTATTTGTAAGACCTGAAATTTTGGCGTTTTACAACTAACCCTGGATTTTTTTCCATCATCCAAGAACAATGGGACGCTGTCACTAGAGTAATATATAATAACTAGGACTAATATTGTATTGAGAAGTATGAATTGGTTAATTTGTTTCAGGGGACTAATTAAGTTTGCTTCTGTGCATTTCATTCAATTCAATATTCTACAGAAATTCTTATCTAATGCTTAAGCACGTTTTTACAAAAATTGAAGAATATTGAACAAAAAATATGATATGTAAAGTAAAAAATGCTGAAAGCTTAAGGTATGTGTGAAATACTGACATTAAATGAAGTATGAGTAAGGATCATTTAAAACTGGAATAAAAAGTTTCAGAACATACTTAATTGGTCTTAAAATATATTATATATAGTTTATGAAGAATATTCAGTTCATTAACTCCCTCAAGTCTGATATTACATTGTAAGCTTACATTCAAAATACACATACCTCTTAAACAGACAAAATCTTAAAGTACGGTACAAGACAATAATGAACCACACTTTTCATTTGGATCAATGACACAGCGATTTAGTCAACAAAATCCCACTCGACTCAGTATCTTACTAAAATGACTCTCAAACAAAATATTTGTCCTAAATCAAACAACTGATATGATAACATTGTGAGATAGGTTGCTAAAGATACAGGTACATAAGCAGTCTTGATCAGAAGTTTTTGTCGCAGACTAGTCTGGTCAGGAATTTCGTTGACTTGAACGAGCACACGAGGAGACAAAAATCTCCACTAGGTCGTTTTCGACCATGTCAATAATCACGTGTAGAGCAAGCACTTGAAACGAAAATTAAACTGATTGAATGATGACAGTCTGTCTTTCAGACGATAAACCAATCAGAGACAATATCAAACCTGTTTGATATTATGAGCCGGTTGGGGATGCGATAATATTGTCGTGGAAACACAAGCATACGCAAAATTTTACTCAAGTCTAATCAGCGACAAAATCTCTGACCAAGACCACTTGCCTGCCAGCACCTTTAAAGAGACCAATACAAGTCAAGTTTCAATTTAGTTTTAAAATCCAATTAACAATTAATCACACCCATTTTCAGTATACTTTGATGTACTTCGAGACTTCCGAGTCAACAGAAAATCCATCTCATCACCTTATGGATGTAAGTTTGTAACCCAGAGTATAACTGAGATATCTGATTGTGCTTAAAGGAATAAACACTGCAATATCATTTGAAGTAATACAGCTAATTAGCCTATATATATATACATATCTGATAGTACAAAAGCCATGCAGAGCATGCTCACTCTATTTGAAACACTTGATTGCACGTACTTTGGAGGAATCCACTTCTATACAACTTATACTCTTGATTTTGCCATACGTTAGACAAGATTTTGATTAATGGAATTGTCTTGCTTGTACAGATTTTTATTTTAAATACATTTTAATGGAGCAATATCATCCATGACAGCTAATTAGCCTACATGTTAAGCATGATGGAGTAAATTTGTTGAGTAGAAATGTGTATGATGTTTTAAATTGATCCAATAAAATAGACAATATAAATCAGACAATAACCTATACAACCACATAATGATTTGATTTTTATTGATTCTCCCATCATCAGTGTTAAAGGCAAGCATTCAACAACAGATAAGCTATTATAAATAACTTTTGAGTGGAGTAGTTAAGCTGGATATTGGATAATAAACCTCTAGTTCCCTTCTAATATTTACATCAAATGATTTTCTATGGAACAACTATGTGGATGAGAATAATAAGAGCATACAATCAAACTCTATATTTTATAACAATCTCACTGTAGTTGAATACAAATAGGCATTTTAATTATGATAAACATTGTCTTTAACCTATAATATATATATATATACTATAGATACTAACGAGTACCATCCTATGATTGATTATTATTTCTATTCTCAATCACAACTCATGTCAATTAATCATCCCTTTTCTACCAGACTGACAATATGTTTCCTCGCAGGAGTCATATATTTGGCTTCAATACTCACATCATGTCACAAGTCTCCTCTGTTGGATTCTCAGGTCTGAAAACTTACAGAGATAGCAGAGATTAGTACAGTACTGAGTATTGCCATCATGCCACGATACGATTTGTATCACAATTCAAGGGCCATGATACAATACTAATCACGATACAAGGGTCACGATTCGATAGATCTCGCGATATAGTGTAATGGGACAAAAAAACATTAAAGTTTAAAAATTTATAAGTATATATACCCGGTAAGTCTGTATATACACAAAATCCAAAAAGAAGTCTGACAAAAGTAGAATATAGTTAAATGAGATCAATAACGCCAATAAAGATAGTTAATTTTTACTGCCAACATGTTTCAATTTCATATTTTCAAGGCTGTATATATATAACATTGCTAGGTAATGTTCATAGTTGATTTGAGTGGTTAACGTGGATAACCAGCTAAAAAAGTTTAACATATCTGGTCTGCATTTTTAGCTATAAGAACATATTTACCATATCCTTTCTTTGATATTTGTATTGATATTTTTTTTTAAATATTTTTAAGTGTTTTATGTTACTTCTTAAATCACAAGAGGTGTAGTTAACATTACATTGAAAATTTAACCTTTAATAGAAAACACCAAGCCCATACATACATATTTTACAAATACCCAAATGATATCTATAGCTTACACAAATGTGTGAGTGTACAGTATAAAATTGAAAGTATTTAAAGAGGGTGTGGTAGATATTAGTAATATTGATACATCTCTGTCTAATGTCAATATAACCCCCACTGATATCCTTATCATGGTATATCATGTCTTATCTTAATTACCTTGTCTCTTAATATATCACACTATATCTATCACTTAAAATAGCATTCACAACATAGGTCAAATATCTCACAACATAGGTCAAATAGAATTCACAACATAGGTTAAATATCTCACAACATAGGTCAAATATCTCACAACATAGGTCAAATAGAATTCACAACATAGGTCAAATATCTCACAACATAGGTCAAATATCTCACAACATAGGTCAAATAGAATTCACAACATAGGTTAAATAGCATTCACAACATAGGTCAAATATCTCACAACATAGGTCAAATAGAATTCACAACATAGGTCAAATAGCATTCACAACATAGGTCAAATAGAATTCACAACATAGGTTAAATATCTCACAACATAGGTCAAATAGAATTCACAACATAGGTTAAATAGCATTCACAACATAAGTCAAATATCATTCACAACATAGGTCAAATATCTCACAACATAGGTCAAATAGAATTCACAACATAGGTCAAATAGAATTCACAACATAGGTCAAATAGAATTCACAACATAGGTTAAATAGAATTCACAACATAGGTCAAATAGAATTCACAACATAGGTCAAATAGAATTCACAACATAGGTCAAATAGAATTCACAACATAGGTCAAATGTATCACAACATAGGTCAAATGTATCACAACATAGGTCAAATGTATCACAACATAGGTCAAATGTATCACAACATAGGTCAAATATCTCACAACATAGGTTAAATAGCATTCACAACATAGGTCAAATGTATCACAACATAGGTTAAATATCTCACAACATAGGTTAAATAGCATTCACAACATAGGTCAAATGTATCACAACATAGGTTAAATATCTCACAACATAGGTCAAATGTATCACAACATAGGTCAAATGTATCACAACATAGGTCAAATGTATCACAACATAGGTCAAATATCTCACAACATAGGTTAAATAGCATTCACAACATAGGTTAAATAGCATTCACAACATAGGTCAAATAGCATTCACAACATAGGTTAAATAGCATTCACAACATAGGTCAAATAGCATTCACAACATAGGTCAAATAGCATTCACAACATAGGTCAAATAGAATTCACAACATAGGTTAAATAGAATTCACAACATAGGTCAAATGTATCACAACATAGGTCAAATATCTCACAACATAGGTCAAATATCTCACAACATAGGTCAAATGTATCACAACATAGGTCAAATGTATCACAACATAGGTCAAATAGCATTCACAACATAGGTCAAATAGCATTCACAACATAGGTCAAATAGCATTCACAACATAGGTCAAATAGCATTCACAACATAGGTCAAATAGAATTCACAACATAGGTTAAATAGCATTCACAACATAGGTCAAATAGCATTCACAACATAGGTCAAATATCTCACAACATAGGTCAAATAGAATTCACAACATAGGTTAAATAGCATTCACAACATAGGTTAAATAGCATTCACAACATAGGTCAAATATCATTCACAACATAGGTCAAATAGCATTCACAACATAGGTCAAATAGAATTCACAACATAGGTTAAATATCTCACAACATAGGTCAAATATCTCACAACATAGGTCAAATAGCATTCACAACATAGGTCAAATAGCATTCACAACATAAGTAGCATTAAAAACATGGGTAAAATAGCATTCACTACACAGCTACACAGGTTAAATCTCACAACATGGGTAACATAGCATGCACAAGTTGCAGGTAAATTAGCATTCATATCTCACAACCCATGTCAAATATCTCACAACACAGGTCAAGTAATAGTATTCACCACACATGTAAAATGTAAATCATATTCATAACAGAGATCCAATATTTCACAACAGCATAGAAAAATGCACATTATAAGATAGTTGTCATTAAAGGTTGGTTCTTGCTTAAGGCAAAAGTAACTGGATTTCAACGACTGCCAGCCTCTAGATAAATCTGATAAATCATTAGAGATTCTCTGCTTGCAATCAGTTGCTGTCGTTCATACTCTACCTTTTATTTACCAAACCAGTTGAAATATACAACCATCAACTTGCTAGTAGACAACCAGTTTTGATTTGAGCTCAACTGACCTTGCCCTTAATCAACTCGAAACAAAGAGCTATATGTACTAGGCTGCCAAGGTAAGCTAAGTAAGATATCTGGTTTATCTAGCACCAAACAATAATACAAGACCGCAATGTAAGCTAATTAAAGTGATGTCTGATTTATCTAGCACCAAACAACAATGCAAGACTACAGTGTAAGCTAATTAAAGTGATGTCTGATTTATCTAGCACCAAACAACAATGCAAGACTACAATGTAAGCTAATTAAAGTGATGTCTGATTTATCTAGCACCAAACAACAATGCAAGACTACAGTGTAAGCTAATTAAAGTGATGTCTGATTTATCTAGCACCAAACAACAATGCAAGACTACAATGTAAGCTAATTAAAGTGATGCCTGGTTTATCTAGCACCAAATAACAATGCAAGACTACAGTGTAAGCTAATTAAAGTGATGTCTGATTTATCTAGCACCAAACAACAATGCAAGACTACAGTGTAAGCTAAATAAAGTGATGTCTGATTTATCTAGCACCAAATAACAATGCAAGACTACAGTGTAAGCTAATTAAAGTGATGTCTGATTTATCTAGCACCAAACAACAATGCAAGACTACAGTGTAAGCTAATTAAAGTGATGTCTGATTTATCTAGCACCAAATAACAATGCAAGACTACAGTGTAAGCTAATTAAAGTGATGTCTGATTTATCTAGCACCAAATAACAATGCAAGACTACAGTGTAAGCTAATTAAAGTGATGTCTGATTTATCTAGCACCAAATAACAATGCAAGACTACAGTGTAAGCTAATCAAAGTGATGTCTGGTGTTTTGGAAGACTATAAAACAGACACCTACCATAATAGATTAAATAATCCTTATAAAAAACTTGTTTTTACATCAATATAATCCAGAGAAGCTGACTAAATATCTTAAACCACAAATTGATTTTTAATAACATCATCATCAACACATTCCATGTTTGGTGTTGTTTTTTTATCAACCACAGATACATTCAATCATGACTGAATAAGGTCAGAAAGTTTATAAACAGTGGTTTCTTTTTAATGATGGTTTCTCATTCACAAACCAAATCTTGATCTCAAGTGACAACGCATACAGAAAATTTAGAAAAGTTAGGCATATATTGGATGAACACTATCTGATATCAGTCTAGTGGAGGGGTCAATCTAACATATTTTAACATAACTTAAGAAACTATTAAAATCAGTATGTTTTCAGAGATAAAGGACTGTGTTAAAGTAAAGTAATAAAATTGATAGTTATACAATATTAGATGATACAATAGATCTATTATATAGATATAGGTTGATATAATATTTATTGTTATACAATATTAGATGATACAATAGATCTATTATATAGATATAGGTTGATATAATATTTATTGTTATACAATATTAGATGATACAATAGATCTATATATAGATATAGGTTGATATAATATTTATTGTTATTCAATATTAGATGATACAATAGATCTATTATATAGATATAGGTTGATATAATATTTATTGTTATTCAATATTAGATGATACAATAGGTCTATTATATAGATATAGGTTGATATAATATTTATTGTTATACAATATTAGATGATACAATAGATCTATTATATAGATATAGGTTGATATAATATTTATTGTTATACAATATTAGATGATACAATAGATCTATTATATAGATATAGGTTGATATAATATTTATTGTTATACAATATTAGATGATACAATAGATCTATTATATAGATATAGGTTGATATAATATTTATTGTTATTCAATATTAGATGATACAATAGATCTATTATATAGATATAGGTTGATATAATATTTATTGTTATACAATATTAGATGATACAATAGATCTATTATATAGATATAGGTTGATATAATATTTATTGTTATTCAATATTAGATGATACAATAGGTCTATTATATAGATATAGGTTGATATAATATTTATTGTTATACAATATTAGATGATACAATAGATCTATTATATAGATATAGGTTGATATAATATTTATTGTTATACAATATTAGATGATACAATAGATCTATTATATAGATATAGGTTGATATAATATTTATTGTTATTCAATATTAGATGATACAATAGATCTATTATATAGATATAG